TATTCCTGCAAGACAAAGCTGCATTATGTGGAATGTCTTTCATGGTGCTGTTTTTGTTTTGTTTAATGCCAAACTCATTAATATTTCAGCTATATGACAGCAGTTTGTAAATGATAAGATCTGGACCAGATAATACAGTGATTGGCATCATGGCCATTGATATATCCATCAACCAAGGTGGCCTTACCACTCGATCCTGTTAGTCGTCTCTTATGACCAGCATGAGACCAATTCTATCACATATCTTCATAGGTCTTCATAGTGATGAGCATTTAGATTATTACTGAGGCAAGAATGTACAATCTGACAACACCTACTTTCAAACTTCAGATCAACAACAAATTGTAATTGTATTATCTCCAAAGAATGATATGTCTACCAATAGTTTCCGCATCAAAAGCATCAAGCATATAATTCAGTGCTAAATCTCATTGCATAGCCTGTAAATCATAGTGAACCCCCCCCCACACATAATAATGTCAAACACAGACAATATCTTTCACTATGCAATATATCTTTTTGTCAAGCATGCAAAATTTAACAGAGCAGAATGTAAGTAATAATCTTTGAACATACACTACCATGATTATGTTCTTCTATGGACCTTTGATCTCCCAGAAAAAGCAGTGGAATGACTGACCTATGGAAAACCTGATGATAAAATCATAAACTGCCATTCAGGTACCTGTATTGCGATACATATTGCCATATTTTGGGAGCTTCAGTGTTTCACATGTGATGTTGATGCAGTCTCAATATAAATTTGGGTAGTTAGGGATTTTCTTGTTTGTACAATTTATAGTATGTACAGTGTGCCATGTTGTCTATTAATTACAGAGGGAAACATCAGTTGGTAATGAAAGATTTTCATTAAAAACTACAGAGATAATGAAAACTTCTTCGTTTTTACACAATATTACGCGTTCTCTGAAAAAACATGCAGTGCATATTGTTTGAAAAGCATATTGTGGTATACCTGTTTATTGTGCAGTGCTAAAACTCTGTGAAAACTCACAAAAAAGTATAAAACATGTTCAGGCAATATATAATAAAACAAATATTAAAGTTTGTTGATGTAAGTACTTGTACTTTTACCTATGCATTAGATTCCTTTCTTTATCATCTGTCAGGTTTAGCTCCATAGTTAGCAAGGGTTAGTTTCAGTCAGACAAGTGTTAAGGATGGAAGAGTCTGAGGAGTACTAAGATCTGTTACTAAGCTTGTTTATAACACTTGATCACCACGTAAACTTAGCCACTAAACCAGTTTTCTGTGGGCAGAGAAAATCCCTTCTGGGGCAGAGGTAATCAGTAATCCCCCCCCAGAAATATTACTACTGGTTCAATTCTGCTAAGCCAATCGCAATATTTAGAAGCTGAAGGCAGTTTGTTCTGTATCTAAAGGGAAAGGAAAACATCTTTTCATGGAAGTAAAAACATTGCTTATGCCGGGGTGTATTGCAACTAATTATGTGCGGATAAGGAATTGGAACACACCGATGTCACTGTATTGATTAGTAGGAGATTAGCTTCACCTGGGAGACAATGGAAATAATTACAGGAAGCATGGGATTTGCCTTTATCCACTCTAAACTGGTGTTTGTACAAGTGATAAACATTTTAAATTGTGTTATGACAATATTGTATTAGCCCAGACTGGGGCTGAAGCACTGCCACATGTTCTATTGTTCAAGGAGACTAGCATTATGTAACCCTCATCCAAAACAGCCAATCAGGAAAGAGGTTGACCCAGTCAGCCCAGTTGGGGATATAGGCTATATATACAACTTTCACCTTACTGACAGTATACTGTAGATATCTCTCTAATACTTTGGATTTACTTCGTGTGATATATACAATCGTCATGGTGAATAACAGATCAGGTTAGTAAATCTTGACTGATTATGTTTATTTGGTTGTTTCTTATTAGCAGAACTGTTGACAACCCATGACATGACAAGATGGGGCTGTTTGTCTTTTAAAATAATGTAATACTTATTGATTTTGGTTTTCAGAAAGCAGTAAGCAAAGTGTCAGAGTTAATTTGGTGTTGATAAATTTCCAGTTACAAGTCATATTGTAATTTAAAGTTACGTTTACATTTAACAAGTTACTTTTACTTAGAAAATATGTAGACGTTTCAGTAGAAGCAGCACAAACTGTTGCATATGTTTAAAGGTTATTTATAATTCATTTTCCAGAAACATTAAATATTCAATATGGTCTTTATTTTGCTCAGGGTGCTTAATAATAAAATGGAAAACACTGATAATTTTTAAAAATTATGATCAAATTAATCTTAAACAAGATTAGTTGACATTTAGATGCTTCTTTTTACATGTTTTCACATAGATATTTTTGTGAATGCATCTGGTTCATTCCAATTTCAGCTAAACAGTTAATTTCCATTAACCTGTCCCTTAGTTTTCATATGTCCCATGAAGATGCCTAAACTGTTTCAACATTTGATATATTATTAATTTTCAATTAAAAGATTAAGTAAATATTCAATAATGTCTGTTTTGATTATCAACAAATTATTAAAATTCATATCAAATATTGTGCCTAGGGTGCTAATATGGCAATAAATATTCAATAAGATCTTTTTTTATTCTTAACAAATTACTAAATTGTACCTAGGCTGCTGATATGGCAAATATGTAACAATTAAAAAATGTGAGTTTGAAGATTTCATAGTTATTTTCACATGAAATATTCTGATTTGTCCCAAGTTCAAATAGGCACATGCTATGGTTGTGATGATTATGATGATTTTTATATCAGAGTAAGTATTAGACTAAGCTCATGATGTCAGGTGTGAATTATAACATGTTTATAACGTAAGTTATTCATACTAAATGAAAAATATTGATGCTCAGATGTTTTTGATTCACAGGTCATAGTTTTCTGAAAGAGTATAATGTATTACAAACATAATAGTGGACTAGGATTATATGTATACTTTCCCTTCCCATAAAGTTCAAAATATAGAATTTTATGCCTCAACATAACAATTCAAAAATACAAACCAACTCTTTTCAGTATCAAACAGGAAATACCAAGGATATTAAGTGTACATGTCTTCTTTAATTTGAATTAATTAAGTCCATGAGGATTAACATTCTGAAAAGAACATGTTTGGGGGGCATACATTTTATTTATAACCCATATACAGACAAAAAAAGGTTTCTACATTTTTCTGTTAATTCAAAAACTTGAAGAATATATGTCAATTTGTTTTGCAACAAGCAGTTGACATGCCAGAATTGACTACCTAACCCTGACAGGAATATAAGTGACATATGACTAATGTTTAATAAGATAATTGTTCAGGTCTACATAAGTTAATAATTTCCTGCACTTTGTTATAATCATCTGGATATAGGATTATTATGCAGTGGCAATAATGTGTTTTTGGTAAGGTACTGTAATTACCTTATTCAACATTGTGTGATGGAACGTAAACATGTTCCCTCACACACATGGTACATAATAATTTGATGTATTTTAACCTTTTAATCTGTGACAAGAATACTTTACCTCATGTATTTGTCTTGTCAGCTGGTGCTACAATGAAAAGATCTACCTCCATCTGACATATATAGCTGTCATTGCTATGGCACATAGTTGAAACAACCTGGAAGAGTATTCTTGCCATTCCAAATCACAATCCAATCTGTTTCACTTGTCAGGCTTCTGACATGCTGTTGTTGCAATTAACTCATCACTTATGGGTGACACTCATTGACAGCAGTCCACATTGTTTCCTCATTAGCTAATTGAGCTTACCTGAAACGACAACTTGCTTTGATAAACTAATTAAGGTGTTGAGACAGTAGTTGACTTGTTTGGTGGCAATGAGTGAACTCATTTCACCTGGCACAGGTAGTTAATTAGAGCTGTGGGAGGTTGATGGCAGATGCATCCAGAACCTTCACACAGTCAACAACACATCATGGGTGGGTACTTTAGCTGAAGCTGACTCTGAATCAGTGGACATCATGGAATCGCTTTTAAGCTGATTTTCGTGACCAGGGTCTAATATCAGCGTATTTTGTAGCTTTAAAAGATTTGAGGTCATTTTAAATCTTTTTGCATTGTTCTATCTGAATGTCCATTTCACATAATCATTATTGGAATTTTGTCCATTTTATTGAGAGATATTAGGAAAAGTGCCATGATCAATTGTTGGAAGAAGTTTATGTGTATATACACTGAGACAGAGTATTGTTGTTGATAAAACCATTGTGCAGCTGAAAGTAAGGGGAAATATTTAAATTTAAGTAAACTGAGTATAATTGATAAAATCAGCTAAAAGCATTGTCGGTAGAAATAATGCAAACATCTTTGTGAAGCCTGGTTCAATAGGTTGTAAAAATCCTGAAGTCCCCCCATAAACCAGCAGCCCTGTATTTAAAACTGTACGGTTATGCAACTACAAAGGAATTAAATCACTATCCATGTTGTGAACTTCTTGGTAATTACAGACCATAGAAGTAAGTGACACTTGAGGTAATTATGACTGTAGTTTTTACAGCTCACAATAGCCCAGGTACACCTCATTGTGTGGGGGTGTTAATCCAGTCGCAGCGTGGGTGGAATAACAGTGGATTATACAGCATGGATGATAACAATGTACTGGCTACATGGTATTTAAGCAGATATGAATACACTGCCTATACAATCTGTTATTATTGGACGTCCAGCAGAGATGTAGTATTGTACTATTGTGACTGGGCCTTTGTAGTTTTTTGATATTTGTGGTTATTCAGGTGAGCTGTTAAGCTTTCTGTGAAGGATTAAGATCTGAAGTGTTGCCATTGAAATCAAGCATTTGTTTAAGAATTTCTTTATACTGTTATTTGTGCTGAGGAATTTTGTGAATTATAAAACCAAAATGAGGTTTACATAAAGACAGTGAGTTATTCTGAAGAACATTTCAGATCCATTTATGCACTCTGTGGTATGGTATTTTCAGTTGTATTTTTATTGTTATTTCAGGTCCTTTCCGCGCCACACAAATATGGAACGAGATAATCTCTCATGTGAAGAGCAAAGTGGAGCTGAAGCGTCGTCGTTACAAGATGAGACACTATGACAACACATTCACAGGCACAGATGCTGTGGATGTTGTCCTGCACTATCTCCTGAGTGACAAAGAAACATTCTGTACAGACCTGTCCAGGGACAAGGCTGTCAAGGTAGGTCATGAGTGTACACATGATGACAATATCATGTCGGTTGTTATGGAAAATATGACAGGTAGATTAAGGAGGGCCAGCTGTTTCCTCCAGTTAATATATACACCATTCACTCCAGTGTATGAGAGCAGCCCACTTTCATTATTTTCTTGATTGAACACTGAGTTGCCCTCATGCAGCTGTAGATGTAAAGAAGCTTGAGTCGCTAATTATTTCAACAGACTATGATTAACGAATATTTACACACCAACCCTTGTGAAATTGGGACATGGTTGACCCAGTTGCATCACATGTAAATGGATATTTGGAATAAAATAAACATGAAAATAAGCATGAAATTGAGCATGTAAAAACTCAATGGATTATTAGAGGAATTGTTACTTTACACATGTTTACTTCTTCACAGTACTGTATGACCATTTACTCAATTCCAGTATTATCCTATGTTGCAGGTGTGCCAGATGTTAATGAACCAAAATGTGTTTGAGCCAGCCAGCTGCAGGTCCAGTGAAGCCAAGAAACTGTTTGAGGACAGTAATAATAAACTGTACCGATTTGTTGACTCTGACAAGGAAAACAAGGATGAAAGTCAGGACGAAAGCGAAGCATCTACAATGGATGATTCTTCTGACTTCAAATCTGGGAAAGATCATATGAGGTTAGCTCATGCTGTCCACCCCAGGGTAGTCAGGCCCAGATCTGTACTCGCAACGGACAGATTGTCTGATACCTTATTGTAATTATATAAACATGTGGTGTACATATTGCTTTCTTATGTGCCATACTGCGGAGAGTTGAAGGACCACATAGCTTCAACTTTGATGTGACTAATCTTCAAGATCTCTTGTGTATATTTATATATGTAAATGTGCTATGATTGTGTATATTTTGAAAACATGTATCTATTTACATTGCCTTGAATATTAATAAACATCTAATATTTTAATTTGTCATTTGTTGTACTACTATAACTCAAACAACTTGTTGGGAAGTGTACCTTACATGAAGCAAGCAACGGGTTCACAAAACATGCACTCATTATGTCTGCTTGATTTCAGAATCAACCCAGCATTTGAGCCTGACCTACTTGAGGATGATCTGTTGTGTAACCCGCTGGCGTTGCAGCAGTCAGCCTCTGTCATGCAGGAACTCATCAAACTAGGCAGCTCTATACGATGTAAAAGTGCCAGTTCTCTCAAGTCAATTGATCTCAAACGTACACGGTCGGAAGACAGTCAGGAAATATCACCAGAAGGTAAACATGTTGATGAAAAAATAGTTCAGACGTTCAAAGCATGGTTTCTATAATGCTTGACAATCTCATTGAATAAAACTTGGAATGACATGTTTACTTCATTCACTGAAGCACAATGAGAAAAAGTGGTCTTGTTGGTTTTTATTGTGAGGGAAAATTGCAGCTTCTTGGAAACCTCAGGGCAAATGCATTTTGAATAACAAGAAAAAAGTACTTTCTACATTCTAGACATACACCAGTGATACTATTTGATACTAATGTATGTACTGGTCTTGATAAACTTTGACCAATATTGTGAACTGCTTTTTCTCCCAACAGTGGTGGAGGAGACCTGGAAGGAGATAGCCCTGGCTGAGCTTCTGACAATAGTGGACATTATGTTCCTTGATGGTATCCTTAGTGAGGAAAAAGAAAACAAGCGCCAGCAACGTCGTAATGTCATCATCTCAAATGTTGTTGCCAAACACAGTGTTGTGCCCTTCCTGGAAGGTTCAGACACAACTGACTGCGTCATGCAGGCAGCTTTTGACTGTATAGAATGTCTACCCAAGGGAATGGCTCTCCTATCTGATGATACCCTTAAACAGACAGGGACACAAACAAAACTGAAACTGTTCAAGATTATTTCCAAGTATTATCAGGACCTGTCAGACCCTCTACTTCCGGAGAGGTTTTTTGATTTGCATATGGCTATACTGAACCTGATACTGACTGGGAGAGAGGAGACTGGGCTGCTGGCTCTAAAGCTGGATGTGGTGCTCTTGCCATGGGCAGTTCGTGAAGAGCTGCAGAGGTTACTCAAGTTTATGTTGGCAATTGCCAAGGATAACACCTTCAAGATTGATGAACAGGTAGGCATGAATTAGTGCATTTATCAAATGTCTGAAGACAATATGCTTGTTTTCAAAGTATTGCTGTCAGAAACTATATGATAAATCAAGTTACTCTTCTCCTAATTCTGGTTTGTGGTTGTGACATTACTATATATAAGCAGGCAATAACTTCATCTGCAATTTCTGCAGTATAATGACAGGCTTGCAGCCAAATAAGGCTGAAATACTTTCATCACATAAGACCAGTATTCAAACATTTGTTTCTGTTTTATAGTGAATGTACTTGTCAAAAAAGTTTGTGATTGGGAATAATTTGTAATTTCTCTAATTGCATTTTTTTTTGTAGGAGACAAACGAAGTGATAGTTTTGAGAACATTCAGTGGCTGCATCTTTAAGCACAAGGTGTTGTCATCCAGTGTTGGAGCAGAGCTGGTGCAATTCTTCCTCAACCACCTCTCTGATATCTTCATTGTTCCACGTTCCATCAGACAGAAAGTTGCCTTCCGACTATATCAAGTCAAAACAGGCATAATGGAGATAGTCAGTGGTGAGGATCACAACATTCTCTATACTTTACTGAAACAATATATACAGCTTTATTAAGTTCATATTACTACCGACCGCCTCCGTGGTGTAGTGGTTAGAGCATCCGCCCGGAGAGCAGAAGGTCGCGGGTTCGATCCCCGACCGCGTCATACCAAAAGATGATAAAATATGGTACTTGTTGGTCCCTGCCTGGCGTTCGGCATTAATGGGTACAACAAGGACTGGTCGGCTCGGAGTCAGTATAATGTGTCTGAGTGGGATATTCATGCTTCACTGCGGCGTGGTATCTCAGTGGGCTAGCACTATAAAACCAGCTTAAGTCAGGGCTAGTACAAGCAGCCGCACATACACATACACACGCATGCACGTCGTCATATGAGCGAAATATTCTCAAGCACGACGTTAAACCCTATTTCATCTCACCTCACCTCAAATTACTACCGGAACCATGAAGATCTGGGCTAGAATTGATCTTCAGTAACCCATGCTTCTCGTAAGAGGCGACTAATGGGATCGGGTGGTCAGACTCGCTGACTTGGTCGACACATGTCAATGTATCCCAATTGCTCATGCTGTTGATCACTGGATCACTTGTCCATTTACAGACCGTCGCCATATAGCTGGAATATTGCTGAGTGTGGCAAAAAACCAAACTTACTCACTCCCTACCATAGCTATTTTATTGAAGGGTGTATCAGTAGAAAATGTGACTTTCACTTTTTACTAAAGAAAAAGTAGTCTCATTTTGGCAATTGCATTTTGGTGAAATTGTAGTAGGATGGGTTAGTGGATTGTGTTTGATGCCTAAATGAATACAATGAGTCCCCCACTGGAATATTACAGACATTGATATACATATATGTTGTGAAAGCTTACCTTTGACTCTTTAATGAGTATAGATGTATTTTGTCCCCAGACTCAACATTCTGCAGCCGAGTTACCCAGGAGGAATATCAGAAGCAGTCTCAAGATGGAACAAAGGAAGCCCTCATAGAAATGATGAACGCTGTATTAGATGATACACAAGTGCCCCTCAAAGAAAAGAAACAAAGATTAAAAACGTTTCAGAAGATATATCCAGCTCTTTATGAAAAGTACTTCCAGGGACTAATTTGAACAACTGCAGTTTGAAATGCTGATGGTGCTATAGACAGAATTGTACAAATGTATGTACAGTGTCAACTTGTTTTCCTTGATGACTGATCAGGTCTCCAAGTTTGATGCTTTGCAAAGAAAAGGTGCCGTAAATGTTACATTCAGGCATGAAAGGAGATGAAGGTCAAACAAGTATATACATCTGAAAAACTATGTTTTGAACAAAATGTAAATGAAAGACAAAACACTGCAGAAGGGCTTGGAATAGGAAACAAATCCAAATATTTTTCTGCTTGTGTGCAGATATAAAATCAAGTATCAAGTGCTGTTGGCTGTCTGCTGTCTGTATCAGAACATGATTTGTAAGATACTTACAGTGTTTATTTATCAAAGGTTGTGTTTATGGTTGTGAATTCTGCAGTTTTTTAGATATAATTTCCTTAATATTAGTGTCAAGGGAGGTTGAAATGTGTGTATCTGGTGTTAGTACGTCTCTACTTCTGAAAGAGCATTTACTTTGCATCCTCTGTTACCATGCAGTTCTGGAACTTAGTGCAATACCCACACCTTGCCAAAAATTAATAGCAACTTTCATATCTGATGAACTTCCTTCAGTAGCTTGAGGTGGTTTTACCTGTTAGACTTGTTTCTTTGAGGTTAGCAAAAGTCTCATGGTCTTTTCTTGCAATGTCATTCTTGGAGCAAGTGGAGGCCCTACAATTCAGGGCAGTAATGTAGGCTATATTCCTGTTATCAATGAAGAGCCACAGTAAGACAGGCACATTACCCTATCAGCATATGCTCAGCAAAAGAGGCTAATTGTTTGATCATGTGAAATTTGATTTCTTGATTTAGGCTGACATATTTTCCAGGCTTGCTTGCTTGCCAACCCTTGCTTTTGCTATGGATATTCAGAAGACATACCTTGTTGCTTACTGGAGAGTGTAACTAGTCTTGTCTCAGGTCAAATCTTCACTTGTCTATTTGATTGAAATTATTACCTTTTTTGCTCATTATTAAGCAATGCAGATTTTATTCTAGTTTTGGGATTATATGATGTAAGTGGTGGTCATTTTGTTCTCAAAGTGCAATAGCATTCATCTTCATTTATTCCCCATAGAAATGTGGTATCATTAGTCAAAGATCTATTTCATAAATTCCTAAAACTGGACAATTATTATAAAAACGGTTTTGTTCTCATTGTGATTCTCATGCAAAGTTCTGCCCCATCTTATTTGAAAATATGAATCGAGGATTTGGAATGCTGAGTTGCATCAATCATATTAAACATCAGGTATCCAGCTTTGTTGATCTCCTGTAGTAATACTCTGTCTCAAATTCCTAGAGCTCAATGGCCATTTTAGCTGACTTGTTTTAATAATTTATTTTGATATTACTGGTATGTAATTATATATGTCTGTACATATAAATTGTTTTTAGGGCATTTTATGGAAAACAATGAAAACTGTAAAAAGAAAGCATATATTGTTTAAAGGGATCTCAATTGTTGAAGTGAAGAACTGAGTGTGATATTTTCATAATCAAAACAATGTGTGATAACATGTAGAAATTGTATATATAAATCTCCATTTGTAGCTATGTACAGGACTGACTGACTGTTTCAGTACCAATAGTGCTATTGTATTGTTTTTTGTAAATAAAAGTATATTAACCAAATGTTTGTAATCCCTTAATAAGACATATATACATGGACATAATGAATAAACACCTATACAATATTTCATGATATTTTTGCTTTTCCCAGCTAGATTTATATTGTTTCACTTTTCTGGCTGGATCAGCAAGTTGCAGTCAATCTTACCCTTTGTCAGCTGTGTACATGGGCTTAAAATGACAACACCTACAAGCTTTGTCATTGAGTCCCCCTTTGAAGCATGATTTTTTAACCTGTAATAGACGTACTGAACTTTCTGAATATCAGTATGCACGTGCATTTCGTGTTACATCAGAAAACGTTGTTTTGGATTTTTTTTTGTGACATTTAGGCGATTCGTTAACTTGTTTCGGCGTTTGTTCCGGAAAGGATGGGTCTTCACCTGTGTGACATGGCTCAGTATGGTTTTAGCACTTCAATTTTACTTTTGTGAATTTTTTCACGCAGTATTTTACGGTGTATTATTTATTTTGAACACTATAGTCTGTTTGCGGTGAAAAGGTACCGATGAATTTCACTTTAAACAAAAAAGTAAATCAAATAAAGTGAAATTAAGATTGCGAATCCTCATAATTTTACCTTGCGATTTGAAAATTTAAATCTCAGAATTTTATTCAACTTAGGATAAAAGTTGTTTAACAAACGATCATAGTTTCAAATCAGTATTATTGGTTTGTATTACAAGGGGGGTATGCACATTAAATGAAACACTGAGAACAAAGAGGGTTGCATACGTCACCACTCGCCCCTTTCCGTAACCTCCAAGAAGACTCGTACCCCACTCGATACTTGTTATGTGCGAAAATACGACAAACCAATCAGAACGCGCGTAAATGAGCGCGGTGCTTTGATTAAAATAATCCCGAGTACTTAAATCGTTTATGGCATTATGTCATTGTTTAAAAAATCATGAAAAAATATATATCGTCATATTGAAAGTACAAAGAACGTAGCTAAAAGGATTTTGCTGCCTGTCATGAAGTTTTTAATAAGAATCATGCGATTGACGGTGAGAGATTCAAATACACGCACGTGCGTTTGTTGACATAACTGCTCTCATGGGTCCAACTAGGAGAGGGTTTCACTAAGTTGGCATAACTTGTACCCAATCCATTCTCTTGAATAAATATGTTTAAATCAAATCAAACTAAGTGTATTTCTGACGATCTTGCGAGCTTGTTATGGAGATTGTACGTGCGCTTCGACCAATTTTAGGAAATGTAATTATAATCGCTACCAGTTTCAAAACAATAATATCGTATTTGTATGTAACTAATCAACCTTAATCTTTAACATTGGGCTTATATTTAATAGCTCTGGGGATATTTTAGTCTGACTGTTTTTTGGTCATTCATATTTTTTTCAGCGAATTCATTTAAAATTCCACCAGGGGTGTGACAGCAAGGTTACACGAATGTTCAGTTTGAGAAATATTTTAAAGTCATTTTTGAGTATCTGCTTTGGGATTTAATGTACTTGTAGCTGAATTTTTTCAATTTTGTTTGTATATTCAATAAAACAATTCCCATTTCTGATGATTAAACCCTTTTAAGAACCCTATTAATTAACATAATTGGAAATATAAGGCGAACAGCTGGTAATAATTACATTACAATATGTCTTAAACAAATATATTTTTCTCCTTCTTTTAGTTGTATCAAAGAGGTTTAATTCTTTAAAATAAATAAGTAACCCCCAAAAAAAAAACAAAACCCCAACAACCTAGCAATACAATGTATATGTGCTTCGGTGATTTTTAGCAAAAAATGGAATCAAACAGGGATAGAGTTGTCGTTCTTGTTTAAAGTAGTTCTGATGTTCATGCGCCAATATGAAATCCTTCCAGAGGGGCACGAGTCGCTATTCGGCTTGTCCCGGAATAACACGAGTTGGTCACGAATGAGAGGGTTGGTCTAAGTTAACGCTCATCACGTACCGCACGTGCATTTGTTTCACTGTTCCAACTACTGCGCTTACCCCCCTTGTAATACAAACCAATATAAGCGATTTGAAACTATGATCGTTTGTTAAAGATCACATATACTCTAGGGGGGTACAAATACATAAATCACTAACTGGCATCGCTATAAATGAAACCCCGTCATTAAAACTACTCCTTTCGATCTTTAATTAACTTAAATCGATCTTTTTGACAACAGTGCACAATTCTCAACCGCGAACGAAATTTCGCAAGTTTTTTCCTAAGTTGAATAAAAATCTAAGATTTAATTTTTCAATTGGCAAGGTAGAATTATGAGGATTCGCAATCTAAATTTCACTTTATTCGATTTACATTTTTTGTTTAAAGTGAAATTCACCGGTACGTTTTCACTGCAAACAGACTATAGTTTATTACCGATATCAACAACTGATACCTTCAAAATTATTTATGGTATTTATCTTGTAAATATAATCGAATTGATGATATATGCAATGCGTTGGGGCATATGTATACAATATGTTTATATATCTATATTTATTTCTGATATCATGTACAAAATGATTGTAATTGTTTCATTGATATCATAAACATATTTATAGATATCACGAACAATATTATTGACACCTCGGTGACATTTTAAGAATTCAGTTATTTACTGACATCTTGAAAACTTTAAACAATGAATATCCGTGATAAAACTGGTCTTCAGCAACCCATGCTTGTAAGAGTCGACTAACGGCAACGGGTGGCCAGGCTCGCTGACTTGGTTGACGCATGTCATCGTATTCCAGTTGCGTAGATCGATGCCCATAATGTTGATCACTGTACTGACTGGTCCAGACTCGATTATTTACATACCGCCACAATGTAACTGGAATATTGCCCCGTGCGGCTTTAAACAACGAATAAAAGGTTATTGATATCTTTGAATATAAAACAGACACCTTTACAAGATACCAGTAATTACTAAAAAAATGTGAAAACGGCCTGCCACACGACGGAGACACCTCACGAATGCCCACAATGGGAGGTGTTGATTCCTAGATTTACGATAATCATTTTTTACTGCATGATGTGACAGGCCGAGTCGAGTTATTGGCTGGGTGCTGATATCCTTTGTCGTTTTAAGACCAAGGCCCATAAATCGGTTCCGATTGCTTAATACCCCTTCATGATTTGTGTCGTGTTAATACCAGGACATTTGCTTGTGTATTAACTTAACTGTCGTGTTTCCAAGAATGAATCCTTCCTGTCATGTATTTAATGTAGCAAATGTCTTAAAGGTTGGTTCTTCCTAATTAATGTTCACTTGTAAAGTAGGTTCAAGATTCACGAAGGCATGCGCCTATAAGGGACCGTTCATAATTTATGGCTAGGGGTGGTGGTGGTGATTTTTATGGAGGAGCATGCACCAAAATTTGTGTACAAAATAAGTGACCCCCCGCTGCATGTCATGTACAAAATCAATGACA